ACATACATTTTCTATAAAGTTTAGATTTTGAAAGCCAATTAAACAACATAAAAAGGCATTCAACTAGGAAACTGTCAACTAGATCAATATTCTGTGGCATTTCCTTTTATTTCAGTTCTTAGCAGCTCAGTATTCTCATCTGTAAAATGGGAATCCAACTTCCTTACTGGGCTACATGAAGATTAAGTAAGGAAAGCCATGCCTGACACATTTTGGGAATACATTAGCTTTTGGTTCCCTTTCCTTTTTCTACCCTTAGCTTAGTTAGAGGAGCAAATAATCCTAAGTATGAAATATTTTCAGAAAATGTTCCAAATTGACAGAGTTGTTTACTTAGGGTTACCTGGAGACTCAAGTAAAAGCTAGGAAGAAATTGGAAAGGTCCATGCATTTGGGTAAGAGATACTGGTAGCTGTAACCAACATTCCAGAATCTCAAAGGCTTAACTCAGTGCATTTAATTCTTGAGCACCTCACAGTCTAGTGCTGGTTGAGGGGGACAGGAGCAGTGGTAGCTCAGCTCCATATGGTCTTTCAGGGACCCAGGCTGATTCCATCCAGTGACTCCACTATCTCCAGGAGCTAGGAGTTCTCCACTAGATCTCTGGACCCACAATCCAGGGAAGAAAGCAGTCATTAGGGATGGTGCCAGAGGCTTCAGGATCTGAATGAAAGGAGTGTATACTCACTTCCATCTATCTGGTTAGAACTCAGTTACCAGGCCCCACCTAACTACAAGGGATGCTGGGAAGTGCATTCCAGCTGTGTGTTCAGGAAAAAGAAATGGATTTGATGAACGGTTAGCCAGTCTCTGCCACAGACTGACCACATTTTCTTGTATTATTTTGGAGGACAAATGCTTACCATACATAAACTGCCCAGAGGTGCTGCTAATCTGAGAACCTGTCTGCAACAAGTCCCCTGGGAAGGGCAGCGTTTAGACAGTCGTGCTGGTTTGGAACAGTTTATCTGGATACTTGTTTAAATATATGTTAAAAATTAGCCTGCATTCTGAATCTGCTTCCCACATGTTGTGTGCCATTTAGGCATTTTGGCGTTCTAAAATTACAGATCTATCTCAAAGTGAATAAGTTTAGAAATACATACTTAAGAAATGTTGCATGCAATGACATTTTCCTTCCCAAAGCGATCTACATGAACTCATATTTATTTTGTTATTTTATAAAATCAGAAGTCATACACAATATTGAGTAGAATTCTTTATCTGTGATGGCAGGTAGAACATCTGTTGAATTACTACCACTGTTATTTATTTCAAGTTGCACATTTTACAATGAACTATATCAGAAGCATTTTCAATTTTTTAACACCTTTGATAGATCTAAGCACACCTTTTTTTTTTGAAAGTTATTCATTTTAAATTACGATTATATGAATATTTTAGGATTATAATCACCCTAAAATGAAGGACAAAATTTGTCATACCAAAATAGAAATTTAATTTAAAGTACAAAGAACTTGATTACAAGGTTTAGTAGACTAGAAACAAGACAAAAGAGGATATTAAAAAGCACTTTTTAAAAAACCCTAGCCATATGGTTTTGCAATTTATTTGGAAAAAATACAATAGCAATTATTAATGTTTGTGAAGATCTTATTATAGACTAATCAAAGATCAAACTTTTGTAAGGTTCAAAAAACACATTTAAGCAAATTTTGGTCATTTTCTGAAAAAAACTAACTTTAAATATCTTCATTCAGACTGGGCACGGTGGCTCATGCCTGTAGTCCCAGCACTTTGGGAAACCAAGGCAGGTGGATTGCTTGAGGCCAGGAGTTTGAGCCCAGCCTGGGCATCACAATGAGACACTATCTGTACAAAAAACACAAAAATTAGCCAGACATAGTGACACCTGCCTGTAGTTTCAGCTACTTGGGAGGCTGAGGTGAGAGGATGCTTGAGTCCGGGAGGTTGAGGCTGCAGTCAGCTGAGATCATGCCACTGTACTCCAGCGTGAGTGGCAGAGTGAGACCCTGTCTCAAAAAATAAATAATAAAACTCAGATTTTCATTCAGTATCATAAAGTTAGTAAAGTTTATTTGAGATGGAAGCTGCTCTTGACCATATTGTATCCTGTGGCCTTGGTCAAAAGTCAGACATGCCCACGGACATGTGTGATTCAAAATATTACTCTCAGTTTTCTTGGAATTCACGGCATTTCCTACTACCTGTCACTTTGTCCTTGACAATGTATGAGGCAGAAAACAAGTTGCATGGACCAGGTTGGTTTTCCAGTCAGCTGTTCCTTATTTTTCTCCGATGCTTCTTTGTTATATTAGAGTTCAAATTTACTATTCATGAAACACATTTTAATCAGTGACCATATCAGACAAATGGTAGCTAAGCGTTGGTTAGTATGTTGAAAATAAACACAAGGGCTCTCATTAATGTCGCTGTCTGAATAATTAGTTGAGCATCCAGTCCTGAGCAGCCGTGAAAGCAGACTGGCTTCTCACTGGAACGACAGGCTGACAGCCCCGTCTTGGAGAATGGTCATTAGTGTGCCCCGCCATCAATGTCATGTTACTGTGTCAAATTAGTTAGTGTCCCCTCAGGAGAGAAGCTGGACCTACAAATTATCCTCCCACATCCCTTGGAAACTCTGTTTGCCAAACCTGTGATCGAGTGTGAGCAAATTATTAACATGGCTCATAAATTAACTAGTTTACAGGCTTATAACATTTTACAAGTAGATAATAAAGGGTAGAAAAGTTTTCCAGTTGCTTTGCCTGGATGCGAGGGATGTGATCGGAAGACTTTTCCTAGAGGAGTCCACAGCTCATGGTTTTTTGTTAAGAGCAAACACATGGGGTGTCAGAACAAATGTTTGGAAATGTAGAATCTAAAAGGCAGCCAGTGTAAATCCATTGAAAACAATATAATTAACTTCGTTATCTCATTGCTCTGATAAGTCTATGACAATGGTCCTCTTTCTCTTCATGACAGTTGCTCATTAATGAGTTCACCAATTAAGTTTGAACGATTATAGCCTTTGCCAACTGAAATTATCTTAAAAATATTTTTGATGCATTCTTATCATACTCTTAAGCTTCCTTGCTCAAGAGGGAAAATGCCAGCACAGCACATTAAAGTCCTATAAGAATGAAGATTCTTAAGCCATGATGTATTTGGCAAACGGTTTCTGCACAGTAGACACCAGATACCTAGAAAACACAGTGTGGACAAATCTGGCCTGGGTTTATCTCATATCTAGAAGAGACACCCACTGGGAACACCATCTCTTAACTCTCTTCTGAGTTCTGGTAGGCAGACAACCCACATTGTTTCCGGAGACAGGTGACTATTCAAATCATAAAACTTCATGCATCTCCTTTTTAGTTTCAACTTCTCCATCTGAGTAGGTTAAAAACATGTACATTCACAGAATATTGCCTGAATTTACTCTTGAAAGAGAACACTGCGCACAGACATACATGTGCATGCCCCCAACACTCAGGCTTTCTACCCACTCTGTAGTTCTACAGAGTGGGCAGAAAGTTCTATTTTTTTCTGTATTAGTGAGAGTCCTTTATGCAATCTTGAGGGCCATATAGACGGCATTATTATCTCAAGGAGCTATGCAAAAAAGACCTGGCATGTGAAACCTTCCTACTGACAGCTATTCGCAAAAACTTTCTGAAAGTGCTTGAGGATGAGTTGACTTATCTGTCAGCAACAACTTATTTGGAATTGGATTTGGTAAATATTCTACTAATAACCCAACCAAACTGAAAGCTTACAGTCTCAGCACATGGACAGAGTGACTATTTCCATGAGAAGGCTGCGTCACAGTCTCCTTCAGCGTTTGAAATGCAGCTGAAAAAAAGAGTTACTTGCTAACTGTGGCAAGTAAGATTTTCTGTTTGGCTGGCAGGAGAGAGCTTGTCTGTTTTGTTAGGGGGGTGTCTGTGTCCATGGATGTATTTATTTCCTCCTGTCTCTTCTACTGGATGCATTGAGACAGGCTAAATGATGAAAACTCATAGTAAAATTATCATTTGGACCTATGGATCTTCTTTTCCTCATTTCTCAAAATTTATCTTAAGAAATAAGAAATTATAAGCCAGGCACAGTGGCTGACGCCTATAGTCCCAGCACTTTGGGAGGCCAAGGCAGGCGGATCATTGAGAATAAAATTTGAGAGCAGCCTGGCCAACATAGTGAAACCCCATCTCTACTAAAAATACAAAAATTAGCCAGGCACAGTGGCAGACACCTGTAATTCCAGCTGCGAGGTTGAGGCAGGAGAAGTGCTTGAACCCTGGAGGTGGAGGTTGCAGTGAGCCAAGGTCGTCCCACTGCAGTCCTCCAACCTAGGTGATAGAGCGAGACTCTGTCTGAAAAAGAAAGAAAGGAAGGAAGGGGGAGGGTGGGAGAGAGGGAAAGAAAGAAATTAGGGCTGGGAGTTGTGGCTCACGCCTGTAATTGTACTGCTTTGGAGACTGGAACAGGAGAATCACTTGAGCTCAGGAGTTTGAGACCAGCCTGCCTACTAAAATTCCAAAATTATTTGAGCATGGTGGGCATGCCTGTAGTTCTAGCTGCTTGGGAGTGCTTGAGTCTGGGAAGTTGAGGCTTCAGTGAGCCCTGAATGTGTCACTGCACTCCAGCCTAGGTGACAGAGCAAGATCCTGCCTCAGAATAAAAAAAAAGAAAGAAAGAAAAAAGAAAAGAAATTACGGTATGGAAGTTGAAGGAACTAAACTTCCTAAGTGGATGTCAGTGCCTTCAAGAGTGACAGTTTTACCTACGTAACATTTTGCGTCTCCCTCCTGTAATTCAGATTGTGAACTGGGTTGAATGCTGATTCTAGAAGGCCAAGGATAAAATAGATGCTTAGATACATGAGAATATACTGAAGGTAAATGTGATGTGTAAACAAGGGATACCGAGGGCTCGAAGGCTCGTGTGTCTGTCTTGCTTTTGAAGCATCACAATTTGCCCCTTCGCTTAACCTCTTCTTTTCTTTTTGCTTTCAGCTTCCCTCTGTGTGTTGCAGTCCTGTGGCATTATGCATGCCCCCTCCCAGTGACCCCAGGCTTTTTATGGCTGTGAGACACGACAAAATTTCAGGGTAAGTGACAGACACCACTGATGCAGTATACCACCGACAAATTGCCATCTACCTTTGCGGGAGACCCAGTGGTCGATATACAGTAGTAATCCTGCAGAAGATGATGGGCTCTGTAATTATCAGGCCCTGATTCTGAAGCTAGCAGGCATTTCAATGCTGTTACCCACACCCCCCCCATGATGGCTTTATGGTTTTTATGAATTGAGTTCATAACTTGGATCATATTTGTGGGAAGGTGACCTAATGCAGGGATTGGCAAAATTTGTAAAGGACTGGATAGTAAATATTGTCATCCTCATGAGCCATGCAGTCTCTTTTGCAACTAGCCAATTCTGCCTTTAGAGCACAAAAGTAGCCATAGATGATATACAAGCAAATGGGTGTCCCTGTGCTCCAGTGAGACTTTATTGATGAAAACAGACAGTAAGCCATATTTGGCCTGAAGGCTATAGTAGGCTGTCCCTTGATCTGATGCATCAAAGAGGGACATTTGACCTGTAAACCTGACATCTCGCTGGGTACCACTCCATCTGACCTTGAGCAAACCATTTGTCATGAAAAACGGGAATAAAAAAAAAAAATACCTGCCCTTACTACCTTGAAAGATGGTGTTGTAAGGATGAAACAAGATATAATGCATGTGAAAGCACTTTGAAAATTTCGAAACTCCTTACAAATGTGCTGATCGGCTCTACAGTCATTCCAGTTCACCTCGTGGAGTATGACTTCTTCACCTTTTTAATCACGTTGGGCTTTCATGAGCGAAATGAGTGTGGGGGAAAGCTCTCATATTTTCTGAGTAATGTGGTTTGTCTGTACGTTCCTTCTATTTTGCAGTTGATGGACAAGCTGTTGAAATGTCTTTTTTTTAGTATCAAATATGGATGAAGGGATATGCAGGTAGATTATGGCAGGCGAAAGATCAAATGCCAATGAAGAACGATTAAATTTCCTTTAATCATCAGAATCTGAGAGTGCTGTAAGATCTCACCTTTAATATAGACCTTAATAAATAATAATGCTTTGGATGCCTACAAGTATGTTTGAATTTCACAAGTCTTGCATGTCAAAACAGAGAGAGAGGCTCAGCAAATATGCTTCCCTGGGCTAGCAGTACTAATTAAGAAGGAAAGTCATACTTAAACAAACAGCTTTGGGAATAGAGGGTTAATCAGAATCCCAATTCATGAATTTTCTACTTTCCCTCAGAGAAAATTGTAGTGTCATCTTTAGATGCGTTTTCATATTATTATATTAGTTAAGAATTGTTTTCTAATAAGGAAGATATAAGTATAAAAGTTATTTATTCTCTCTTGTAAAAACATCTGGGAAGATCAATTTGTGCCTTCTGTCTTTCTGCTCTGCTTATTCCAGTGTGTTCCTTCATCTTCAAGGTCACATGGTGGCTGCTGGCTGTCAGGCCATTGCCTCTGCATCCTGAAAGGAGGAGACAAAGAGTAGTTTTCCTGGTTGAGGCAGGCCTCTTTAAAGCACCTTCTCTGCAGCCTTATCCAGTGATGCCTGCCTACATCCTACTAGCCACCCCTAACTATAAAGGTATCTGGGAAATGCATCCTTAAAATTTGATGTCCCAGATAAATTCTGGGTTCTAATACTAAGAAAAGGCACATGCTTACTGAGCAATCATTATGGTTACTTATACAAAATAATGGTGTCAGTTTTGCTACATGTTTAATTTTTATTTCTTTTCAATGACTGTCTTCTGCTGACTGTGCCTTGTTTGAATTTTACATGTTAGAATTTTAGCCTTTTTAATTCTTAGCAGAGATACAGCTCAGTAAATATTTTAGGACCGTAGTATTCTCACCGAAAGTGCCACGGCAAATCTGAGAAATAAATTTCTTTATTAGGAGAGCTATAAAGCAAAATTTAAACTCTAGAATATGCTAGTCTAGTGGGTTTTCCTGCCTGCGGATGTAAGATTTCAGGAAGGCTTGAGTACTAGTATGAGGTCTTAGCAATGTGCACTCACACCCAGTTCTGTTCCCCCTAGATGTACAGGGAGGGTTGCTCAGAGCTTTGCCCTGTCCCTCTGTGCTTATCTACGTAGACTCAAGGGCAGGACAGAACTCTCCACGCTACATTTCTGAGATTTGTTGCTCCCTGTTTTTCTGCTGAACGCTTACCTTGGGAGTGGAGTACACGGGACAAGTCAGCCACTCCCGTCCAAATTTTCGATCCCAAATTGGCCTGTACACGATTCCTGTGAAAATTTTTATCCCATAAAATGAATAGAATGAGACTTCCCTCTACTTTGTATTAATAATATATTTTCTGCCTATACCAGCCTGTGATGAGTAGTCATAAAACTTAGGGGTAATGGATGTATTCACAGACGCTCCCTGGATGCCTGCTGTGGATACAGGATGGCAGCATGGTTAAGAGTTTCTGCTTTGAAGTTAGATCGGCTTAGACTCAGATTCCACCTCTTCCACTTCCTGGCTGAACAACCCTAGGCAAGTTACTTAACCTTTCTGTGCCACGGCCTCCTTATCTGGAAAAGGGGTTAAAAATAGAAGCCAGCTCACTCTGAAGAGTTAGAGAGGTGCTGCTTGTAAAGAGCTTAGCACAGATCCTGGTACATCATAAATGCCAGCGTTGTGCTAGGCACCCCAGGTGATACGCTGGAAGTCCCTGACAAGCTTGTACCATCCTGTTGCTGGTTCACTGGTCGTTGTTTCACTGATAGATGACGTGTGTTTTGCAGTCCGTTGCTCCTCACCTGGTATTGCCTTGTAAATTCAAGTAGAGCCTTAGGCGGTTTTCCTGATGCACATCTTCAAGGGCACATGCAGCTGTGTATACAGCTGGTCAAACTCTGCTAACAGGGCTAGCTAGTCCTGTTTTGAGGATTTCCCCTGAGAAGCATGCAGTTCTTTTTTTGATTCCTTTTTTTAACTTAGTCAGAAATGGGCCTGCCTCGCAAGCAGAATTCACTAACTGCTTTCAAGTTGGTATTGCTGATGATAATCTGAAACTGTAGGGTTTCGCTCGTGCAGGCAGATGCGACATGGTATCTATCTTCTGCCACCTCATCCCCTGTCCCTGCCTCTGTGCTGACTGGGCAAAGCAGGTCCTGGTCCCCCACAGATCTTCTTGGGAATGGCCCTCAAAGAACTGTGTCGTCTGTGCACAGAAGCTGCCACATGACGGTGGCAAAGATTGTCAGCAATGCTCATGGGTGACCCAGTTGGAGACTTGTACCCAGATTGAAAAACAGTGCCAGCCACGTGACCCTGGCTCTCTCTTGAGTTTTTGAGCCCTGTTAGGTGAGATGGGTAAGAATCATACCACCTGTAATAATAATTCATTAGCATTCATTAACCTTAATAATTCGTTAACATTGACACCATATCACAGAATTGATGGTTTTGGGGGGGACAGATGCCAGCCTATATTAGTATTTACCAAGGGTCTGCCTGACATAGGCTTTGTTTCCATCTTGTTCACTGGGTAGAGATAGTGGCTTGAAGATCTTGCATGTTCAAAAGACTTTTGGAAACTTTGAGCTTTTAATACGGTTTCCAATATTTTATTTAAACCCCATTACTCTTCTCAGATGCCATAAAAACTCCCTTGCCTCTGAACCACGGGATAACTTCTGTGCCTCCCAGCACTCATTCCGTCTCATCCCTTAGTGTTCAGTTCAAAAATCAACTCGAACATGCCTTTGCTGACTACCCACATGAAAGGGGACGTCCCCTTTGTTATTTTTCCTGATCTAGACCTCTTGCTTGTTCCATATGTTACAGCTGTGTCCCTTCACAAATTCACCTGTTCATCAGATATTAAGCAAGAAGGCGGTCTTACTCAGTGTGGCTTCTCCATGGCTAGCAGTGCCTAACCTATGGCAGGTGTGCATGTAGTCAGTATTTGTTGAATCAATCAGAGTCTGTTTGGGGATTTCCCTGTGACTTTCTGTATTTTTGTGGTACTTAAGAGGACTGTATCTGGGTAAGGGAGGAAGAGAAGGAACAAAGCTACACACATCACCTTTACTGTAGGAATAGAATACTGCCCTTGGGTTTTCTCTGGAAAGTTTCCACTATGTACTGTATACTCTGCATGTCCTGTCCAGAAGGGGTTATATACAGCATCTTCCCCATGAAGACAGAATTGTTTGCCATTTGGGCCTGAAACATATTGTGGGTGGTCCAAATTGATTAAGGATGTTGGGATCCAAGCTCAAACCTCAGCACTCTCATTCACTGGCTCTTTTTTTTTTTTTTTTTTTTTTGGACAAATTGTTTTCTTTCTGTGGGACTCAGTTTACTTCTCTGAGGCAGGGGTAATAGCATCACCTAGCTCACTGAGCTATTGCAAGCATTAGATTAAATGGTACGTATAAAGTGCTTAGCACAGGGTCTGGAACAGAATAACAGTGCTGTTAATTTAGGAGGATCCACAAAGGCTCCAGGGATCTCCACTGATAAAACTTATCTTGCACTTTCTTGTAATATTCATTTTAGAGGTGGCAAAGATGGCATAGAACCTGATTCCCGATTATATTCGTTCATGTTTCATGTACTGAATTAACTTTAAAAAGTACAGAATTAGCAAGCAGTGAGATAAGCCTGTTTTATATTTGTTGTTGTATTGACTGTTGGATGTCCATGACCTGTCTCAGGTAACACCTGCTAGAAACCTCAAGCACTGTGATGGCTCAGTGTCTGGAGCCTGACCTACGTCCTGAAAACCATGGAAATTCAGAGTTTGGGGTGCCACAGTGTCTGTACGCCATCTTGCTGGGGCTGTGTTTTGCCTTTAAGTTAATCAGAGCTGGTTTGATCTCCTGCCTTGCAATAGAGGGTATCTTAAATTTCCGGTAAATTCTCTTTTCTTTAAAAAAAAATGTACACTCGATACTTCTGTCCTGAAAATTCACATAACTTCTCTTTTGATAGAAAACCAAAGTCTATATAGTCTGAAAGGAGTTAGATATAAATATCTTTCATTGTTAACACCGACTTCTTCCACTTGCTT